CTAATCTTTAACACATCTGATAAAAAAACTTTATTTAGAAAACTTATTTTATAGGAAAAAGGAAGAAATTGATTAATTTCATCCTTTCAAGTTGCTAACCTGAGATGAAATGCCATTTATTCTAGTCATTGATAGATAACCTGATTCATAATTTTAAAGGATTTTTTTCTATAGGCAGCTAATCTAAGTAGAATATTTTTAACATCTTAACATTTTCCAGATGATCTTATGTCCATGAGATAAGTAATTTACATTAGGTTCATGTTATGTATAGGACATCTCACCAAGGGTCCCTGGAGGATCACCCAGGACACCAAACAGATCTGTAACCTCCAATGTTACCAGTGTTACACCCATCCCTGCTGGATCTAAAAAAATAGATCCTAGTATGAAAGGTAAAACACTGAAGATATTATTAATTTATTGTAACTGTTTGAGATTTTTTTAATACTCAGTTGGTGAGGCAAGCCTTTATATATAATTGACATTTATGTTTGTATCCATTGTATAACAACATTTAATTATGTTTAAACATTTAAAATTGAACTACAATATTTTATCACCGTGTCATGGAAATTTTTCAGCTGGAGCCACAAGTGAGGGAGTATTGGCAAACTTCTTCAACAGTTTGCTGAGTAAGAAAACTGGAGCACCTGGTGGACCCAGTAACATTGGTAGTCCAGGAGTAGGAGGCACTGGAAGTGGTACCAATGGTAATCTGCCACCATCTGCAAAGAAGTCAGGTAAAAATTTAACTGAATTGAATTTAGATTAACTAAAGTCAATCAACTACTGTAAATACAGTATAAGAATGTATATAATGATTTAACATTTATGTTTAGTGATTTGTATTTTGACTGATTTCCTCATTGTTACAAATAGTCCAATGTACAAGCTCATAAATTCTTCTACAGAGCTTTAACTTTGACTCTTTTTTTTTGCCTATAACTTGTGGATTTATGAAGGTCTAAAAGATGTTTTATCGGAAACTTTTATTGCAAACCTTTGGCAAAACAAAAAACAATATTTTTTTATTTGTAAAATTTATTAGGCGCCATTTTACTACAAAGTAACTATGGATGGCTTAGGTATCGTTGACTTACAATCACAATTGAGCCTCAAATTTCTATTGCTATGTGAGACATTTGTTAAGTGAGTTTTGCCCATTGTATGACCTTTCTTGCCACAGTTGTTAAATGAACCATTGCATTTGTTATGATAGTAATTCAGTTATTAAATGAATCTGGCTTCCCTATTGACTTTGCTTATGGGAAAATTCCAAAAGGTGATCACATGACCCTGGGACACTGCAAGTGTCATAAATGTGAGTTAGTTGCCAAGCATCTGAATTTTGATCACATGGCCACAAGGATGTTGCAACAGTCATAAAGGTGAAAAATGATCATAGGTAACTTTTTTCAGTGTTGTTGTAACTTTGGTCACTAAATGAATTATTGTAAGTCGACAACTACCGGTAGACAAGCTAAAAGACATAAATAAAATACTATGAAGATCCAAACACTGCACCCCAATTAAAAGTGGGGAAGGCAGGGTAGAATACAGGGCAGATTGGAATCTTATTAATCTATCAACCCCCTCCACTGTAAGATTCTCGCACTGGAGCCCCAAGCTAACTGGCAAAGCCAGGTTCTTAGGCTTTTGTGGAAAGTCAGGAGGATTGGAGCCGATTTCATTCCTGGGGGCACTATGTTCCAAAGGACATGTGCATACTAATTTCCTGTTGTTTATGTTTTCTCCAAGTCATATTATAAAGACTGCTTAGATACAGTTATGACAGAGATACATTATGGCAAACTGACATCAAGACGGATAATGTATCATCTTTGTAACAGTAAAGTTATACTATTGTTAATACTCTAGTTATGTTTGTTCAATATTTTTCCATACTCTGCCATGAACTAAATTATTTCTATAGCATAAGTAGATATTTGTCTCTCTTACCTTTCTTTTGTGTGTTGATGGGAATAAGTGAGGTATTGATTATTTTTACAGGCAGATTCCCTCTCCTTCATCCTAGAATATGTATATTTCTCTTTTCTTACAATATTTTGAAGGTACATTGATAGGAAGCTAGTATAGGAAATTACTGTCATCAGTACATAGTTTTCTAATATATAAGTACAGATGTGGCTATTTGTGATAATGATTTTTTAGACTTTTTTTGGGATATCTTTTCTTTTTTTTTTAACAAATTTTATTTATAATACAGTTAAAAACAAACAAACATTGGATTTAATGTGACATTCCAGTATATACATTCTTATCAGATTATTCCACTTTTTACAATCAATTTTTCATCTCTACATATACATCTAAGTTTTATATGCAATACTTGTTCTAAAATAACATATATTTCTATCTTAATATTCATCTTTAATCCCAACCGTCCTCTTCATATTCCTCCAGAGGTAAAATTTATCCCAGGTTTCATAATAAACTGATCCACATTTGTCTTTTAATATCATTGTGAGCCTGTCCATTTCCACACATGCTAATATTTTATGTATTAACTCTTCCTCTGTGGGAATTTCCTTGCTCTTCCATTTTTGCGCTAAAGCAAGCCTAGCTGCAGTCAGGATGTGTAGTAGCCGGTAGATTGTTCCCTTGTCGTATTTTTCTGTCGTTATTCCCAAGAAGAAGAATTCAGGTTTTAACTCTAAGTCCAGTGTTAATATATCCCTCAACCAGTTTCGTGTCCTGTTCCTATACTCACGGATCTTTGGGCATTCCCACCACATATGGTAGTATGATCCTATTGCTGTTTTACATTTCCAGCATAGGGGTGAGATGTTTGAACCCATTTTGGCTAGCCTTACAGGTGGGAAATGCTATCTATAAAACATCTTGTAAAGATTTATGGAATATCTTTTCTTATCCTAAGACTTTGCCAGTTCTTTCTGGTCAATTTCCTCATTCCATAACTGGTAATGAGAGATTAAAAATCATTTCATACTACTAATTTTATACTTTAAATGTTGTCTCCCCAATTCTTATCTTAACATCACCAAAGATTACGTACAGTACCTTAGAGATGAAATTGGCTTTTAAGAATATAATAAGATAAATCGTTAAATTGAATATGGCTATTAGAGCACAACTTTGGGAAAGCAGTTTGTTTCATCAAAGAGAATTAGAGGCGAAAAAAACAAATGCACCCCAAAGAAATCAGGTAAAGACACCGTTACAAGATAACATTTATGAAAGTAAGTCCACAGTATGTATTTTCAATCTGATAAAATTATGTGAAATGCATTTTAGTATTAGTTAAAATACGTAATAGAAGTAATGTCAAATTCTGTAATAAAAGCATACTTGGCATACAATGCTTGCATGGAAAATTACTAAAAAATTATTATTCTTTTTTTATATAGGGCAAAAACCTGTTTTGACTGATGTTCAAGCTGAATTGGATAGAATCTCACAAAAACCAGATTTACTTTCTCCAGAAACACCTACGTCTCCCACAGAAGGTGGAGCATCTTGAAGTCACCAAATAAAGCCATTTATTCAGTTTTATGGGATAATTTAACTGACTCTGCACCCAATGACTAGAACTGGAAAACTGAAACATTTTCAGAAAAGGACAAGCAGATGATATCTGTTGTATTGCTGAACATTGTAAAAGGGAATTGTATAGATAAAATTATTACACAATGTAATACTGCTATTCAGTGTGATATTCAAATATGCTTACTCCTTAAAGTCAATGCCATTCTGTAAATTTGAAAGTGTCCACTTAATCATTTGAAATCATAAAGCTGCTTGAAGAGTTGACAAAATGATATATAAGAAACATGGGCACTTAATTTATACTGAACTCCTATTTTAGCTTAATTCAGTTTTACAAATCCTCTTGGGGAAAGATCTGATTTTGTTGGAGAAATGTTAATTAACCATTGTTCTTTTGTGCACCATCAATTAACTCAAATTTTAACATTATTTGGAATATGACGAGATTATGCTGATCTCATTTGAAATCTAACTGCATTACACTGTTTGAACTAAGGAGTGCTACAGTATTGAGGATTCATTTCAAATTTTTGGCATGGGCACTTTGGAATTCTAAATTTCTGAAAAATAAAGTATGTGAACATTATTCTCAAATTAATAACAGTAAAATGCTTAAATCTTTTTTACATCTAAAACCTTAATACTCATGTTTGGGTTTAGGTAGAAATCTCATTTAAAATCTTTCATACAGAATTCAGCATGTTTTTATAGTTCCTATTTCTTTGCTTTTGGGAAAGTCACATCTATCTATCTGTATCCCACCTTTATTATGTTTACAAATAACTCAAGGCAGCAAATACAGTAGTGGCCAAAATTGTGGAAACCTTTTGGGAAAATGTATTTTTGAGGTTTGATGACTAATAACACCACTTTTTTTGAGTACCATAAAATTGTATGTCAATCGAAAGATAATTTAATCAAAAATGTAATGCAACATAGTTTGTTCAATTATCTGTACTGTATTGTATGAAAAGTTACAGCCAAATAACCAGAAAAAGGAAGCACAACTTGCTTAGGTTGATATCAGGTAGCTTTCCTTCATCTGATTGTAGCCAGTGAGCATGAGTGTTTAGAGAGCCAATCAGGTGTCATCTTGTTTTGGCAATGAGCCAATCAGATCACAGTAGGATTCAGTTATTGATGTCATGTATTAAAGCTGAGAGAAGGACATTTGTCAGTGTGTTATGTGATCGCTATCAAGTTGATTGTTGTTTTTTTCTTTTATTTAGTGAGCTTGTAAAATGTAATAAAATTAAAGTAATGGTGCGAAGAGTTGATTGGTTGCCCGGAAAGCGATGTAAAATAGAATTATTAAGTGAACAAGGCTACAGTTATAAAGAAATTAGAAGAAAAATTGGTGGAAATTTAACCAAAGGTGGCATTTCTACTGTACACTTTTCCCAAAAGTTTTCCTCAATTTTGGCCACTACTGTATATTTCCCACATCCTATTTTCCCCCATAACAACCACCCTGTGAAGTAGATTGGGCTGAGAGAGAGTGACTGGCCAAAATTATTCAGCTGGCTTTCATGGCTAAGGCAAGACTTGAACTGACAAACTTCTGCTTTCTAGCCTGGTGCCTTCATCACTAGACTAAATTCACCAAATTGGCTCTTTCAGTTTAATAAATTAAATTATAATAGACTATCTTCTAGACCAGGCATGTCAAACTCGCGAGGTCACATGATGTCGCATGATATATCACGACTTTCCCCATTGCTGGCAATAGGATGGGTGTGGTTTTGGTATGACATATCTGGCCCATAGACTAGCAATTTGACATGCCTATTCTAGACTGTTGATTAGGTTTTGGTGGTCTTGTACAGTGTAGAAATACTTTGAATACTATGAGTCTATCCATAAGAATTTAAACATATCCTTTGTATTTATCCTTCCTCAAACAATGTCTCATGAAATTCTACTGTCTTTCACAAGTAATTTGCCATGCAATATTTGGGGCTCATGTTTAACAAATCCAAAGTATACTTAAATAATTACATGATAGCTAAACTCAGGTCATTGGCCAATATGTCAGCAAGGTAAGAAAAATACACATTCTCATGTAACATTATAGCAAACATGAAAGCGCTATTTTAAAAACTTAATATAACATTGAGATCTTTATCAAATATATTCTACATTCTTAGACAATTTTTTGAAAAGGTAATCAGCTTGAAGGCTTTTTCCTGTCATTTCTAAGAACATTTAAAAAAACATTTGTCAATGTTAGCTTTTTTATTGATTTTTTTAAAAAAATTGATGAAGTAAACTCAAACTACAATTGTTTTACATCATTAAGATCTGACTACTAAATGCTTATTCTAACAACATATTTACAGAAGGTTCTTTAGAGAAGTTTTCTTCATTTATAATGAAAAACATTAAATAAATTGAACCTTTGAACAGAATAAACACAGTATTAACATTTGGATGTGCATTTAAGATTTACACAAATTTATATTACAGAAAAGGTAAGTAATATATCTTTCCAGTCATTTATATATTAAAAGTTGAATTGTTTGTGTTTAACTTTATCATTTAATTTATAAAAAAGTTTATAGAAAAGATGATGTGGCCTTGTGGTTAAGATTCTGGGCTTGCGAACTGGAAGGTAGGCAGTTAAAATCCCAAGCACTACATGATGGGATGAACAGAATTTGTGCGCCTCGGCATATAGGTAATCCTTAAGTTACAATAGTTCATTTAGTGACCATTCAAAGTTACAACAGCACTGAAAAAAATGAATATGACACTTAAAAACCATTGTAGCATCCCCATGGTCACATGATCAAAATTCGGATACTTGGCTGCTGACTCATATTCAGGAAGATTGTACTGTCCCAAGGTCATGTGATCACCTTTTATGACCTGACAAAGACTGGGAAAACCAGATTCATTTAACAACCATGTTGCTAACTTAACAACTGCAGTGATTCACTTAATAATTATGGCAAGAAAGGTTGTAAAATGGGGCAAAATTCACTTAGCTGTTTTGCTTAGCAACAAATTTTGGGCTCATTGTCATAAGTTGAAGGCTACTTGTAGTCATATTGGCCACATGACCACAGAAGCATCTTCAGACAACATTGGCTCCCTCTGCAAGGAAACAGATGAGCACTGTCCTATAGAGTCTTATATGACTAGACGAAGCCTTATATAGAAAAAGCTTTATAATTTGGCAGAATATGCAAATGAAACAGGCTAATATATTAAACTAGGAAATATTTGTCTTATAGAAAAGCACCAGCAAATATATTTTCTATGCTATGTGCTCATATATTTAATTAGATTTTAATAGGAAAAAAAGTCTAAAAAAGCAAAGAGAGATCAGAAGTCATATCAGTGATAGAAGTGAAATCTCACAAAGAGAAGACCTTGATTGATTAGGAAATAGCCCTAAAAAAACCCTGAAAATTGAAACGGATAACACACTAACATAAAGTGCAGTAGCTTAATTTTTATATACAGTATATACTTAAAATCAACTACATAGACATTTATGTATTCTGCTTGCCCTTTTGGAAAATGGGGTACTGTATAGCTACCACTGCAAATGTCATTCTCTGTTCCTTTCAATTTGGCGTGTGGTTTGTGTCTGTTAATCAAAGCTTGCTGTGAGATTTAAGAGCAGAGGCAATCTTTCAAGTGGGCTTTAGCTGTTCAGTGTTTTAAAATAAATATTAGGATCATATTTGGCAGCCAGAGAAAACAGCTTTTACTAAGTGGTGCAATTACATCAAGTAAAAATTCCAAAAACAAACATATGCAGCATTAAAATGGTAAGACTTAGTAAGTAGCACAACTATCTGGATTAGCAGTTTTCATTTTAATTGTTGCAGTTTACTCTATTGGAGTTTGAAAGCACATTTTGAACTTAAATTAACAATTTCATAAAAAATAAGTAACAATTCCCAAATATCAGAGATTTTCTTTAAAAGCAAGTAAATAGAAATTTGGAGCCAGATTGATGTAGCCCATTTGCATCAGGCTAGAAATTGGGAGGCCATAAGTTCTGGTCCTGCCTTAAGCACAAAGTCAGTTGGATGGTCTTGGGCTAATCACTTTCTCTCTGACCTGGGAAAAAGGCAATGGCAAACCACCTGTGAAAAAATCTTGCCAAGAAAATTGCAGGGATCTGTCCAGGCAGTCTCCAAGAATCAAATGCAATTATATGGAAAAAATCTAATTGAAATGATTAATGTGTTCATTAATTAGTTATTGATGTTAAATTGATTCCTGAGAATTTGTAAGCAGTAGGAAGCTTCCCTGCAACCTTCCAAAGTAAGCACAAGAGGGCAGTAATAGATAACGTTTTAATAGCTTATCTTCCCACGTGACCTGTGTATAAGAATTACCTATCCAGCTGTTACCTTTGTAAGCAATCTTTGTATAAATTACTCTCAGAAATGGTAAACAACCAAACTATTATTTATTTTTTCAATATTTTACTTGATAAATATCCTACATATTACTTGCATAGTTCTTTTCAGACTGAATCCAACTTGCCACCAGAAAACTATTGCTCCCCCCCACTTTTCATATAAATACAATCTGTACCTCATGTTATATAGGCAAGTGTAACTTAGATTACCATATATTGAAGCATGGAACAAAATCATATTAATGGTTTAGATGCACACAGTGTATAAGGTTTATTTTTAGCTTAGTACAATGTGTGAATAGAGCCACTGAAATTTAAGAATGTATGAACTGAAATTTTACAGCTAATTCAATAAACTATGATTTTAAAATCTGATTTAGCACAATATGTATTAAAACAACATTTAAATAGCTAGGAAAGTTTCCCCACTGCTTTGTGGGCATAGTTATGAAATATTAATGATAAAGCCTCTTTGTAGAATACCTGTTTTAGCTTCAGGGATCCAGACATGAATTAATCCAATGCTCTACATATATATTTTCCTGACAGTGAGTTACACTGCAGTTCAATGGAGCATGCTTTGAATAAAACTTTGTAGTTAAGTCACTGTGGTATTTTTTCAAAAGCCAACAAATAAAATTCTGTTCAACTCATCCTCAGTGCTATGAGGAATTCATGGAAAGTACAGTTTTAAAGATTAATATGACAAATTAAACAAATCTGTAATTGCTGAGAGTGATTATGGATAATTGTTTGCCAGATATTAATATGTATGCAGGAATGGTTTACTATCTATATATTTTGAAATTTGAGATTTTTGCTACACTTCTATTCCTGCTTTAAAAAAATAAAGCAGCAGGGATGTGATATAATTATACAATGTAAAAAGGATAGCTTAGAAATTAAACTAAAATGGAAACATGAAGTGTCATATTTTAAATGAAGAACAATGGAACTATAGTGATGCATGAATAATATAAATATATTCTTGACTGAAAATAATTCTGCATCAGTTAATTGCATCTGTTATTCTGATTTCTCCAAAGTTAAGTAGTACTACTGATTCTTGTTAAAGTAACTGGACCTTGATAATATATCTTTCCCAGTCATTTTCATAGTGGATATTAAACTCCTGTAAATAAACTGTCTCTTAAAAGCTATTTATAACAAAGAGGTTTTTTTTTTCATTTTTTGGATTTTTCTAAGGTTGTAATTCAAATATAAACTTGTTAATCATATATGGATATTTCAGATGCTGAAAAGGGTATGGAAAATGGAAAGCCACTTTAAGATGCAGTATTGTATGAGCACAATAAAGAATTATTGTTTTGTTAGCCTTTTAAATTCTTGTGGATTAGTTCATCTAAATTAATTTCTACAACGGAAGTGTTTGTTTTCCTTTAGACTTGTACAAAATGTGCTTTGCCCTAGTTAAAAAAACCAAACTTTTTACAGTTTCTATCTTCAGTTTCAACAGCTATTCAAAATGGAAGATAATTAAAAACTCAGAAATTTGGAAAATAGGAAGAAGGGGGGGAGCGATTCATCCTCTTTCTCTGGGCACAACCCCTTTCCCAAACGGATGCTTCGGCGCTGTAAGCTTTGAGGGGAGCATTTGGCCCAGAGCAGAACTTGGCTGGGACCTCCCTGCTGCTTTGATTGGCTGGAAGTTTTTTTTTTCGGTGCAGTTTTATCATAGGCGCGGAGAAATTCGGGGCTATTTGCTCAGTTTGGAGACAGAGGTGCGATCCATGCCGCTTCCTCCTCCTCCTCCCCCCCCCCGAGGTTTGGCGCAGAACAGCCAGAGGGCAGTTTGAGTCCGCTGGGTTGAGACCGCGACTCTTTTTCTTTTCACTTTCTTGCAGAATTTGTTTTTATCCTATCGTTCCATTATTTCGTGGCCATGGAGAACGGGGTGCCGTTTTACGATCAACCCGGGACATCGTCCGAAACGGGCAAGTGGCCCTGCACGGAACAGTGCACCCTCAAGAACTTGAGTAGCTGGCGAATGTCCCTCAAGTTTTCGCAAGTGGTAAGTTGGGTTTTATGAATATGCAGAGGGAGGAAGGAAACGAACGAACAGGGGGGGAAAGCCGACCGTCCCTTTGGCGCCGTCTTCCATTCTTTGTGTTTATCTTGTCTTCGTTTTCAGCAGCTCTTAGGCGAGGAAGACTTCGGAATTTTATTTAACATTTATGTATTATTTATATGCATTCTGCCTTTATTATTTTTACAAATAACTAAGGCGGCGAATGAACACATGTAACCCACCTTCCTCCTCCTACTTTCCCTACAGCCACCCTATGAGATGGGTTGGGGTTGAAAGAAAGAGTGACTGACCCAAAAGTCCCCCAGCTGACCTTAAGGTCACGATCCTCCCTTCTAACTTGGTGCTTTAACCACCTGACCATACGGACCCTTTTGTGCCTTTTAAACTCCGCTAAGTCTGGTGGAGCTCACTATCGTCTCACTATCGATGTGTCCATAGAGGGCCCGGGAGAGAAAAGGGCTACTGTCCTGTGGGCTCCTCATCGAATATCTAAAATGTGAACCGTAAACCCGTAAAGTTGCAAACTCTTGTCCGCCTAATTCTGGATAGTTTTGAGACAGTGACTTAGCTTCTGGGCCGTTTATGCCGTCGCTGGTATTACAGATCTGAAGACGCCGTTCTTGCGGCTTATTTGGGGCTGTTTTCACATCATTCTGAGAAGCTGCGCTAGGCAGTTTATTTTTTTCTAATCGTTGTCCATAGCACAAGCGGCATAGCTCGCTAAAATTTTAGAGAGGACTGCTTCTCGATTCGGGCAGTTTTTGCTTGGAAATAAAGGAACTGGAGGTAGATCTTGAGATCTTGAGCCATAATAAGTTTGGGATGATGTATATTGTGATTCAATATATCTGGGGCCTTTCAGATGGTATTAGATATTAGGCTTGAATGACTAGTGTGTGTGAGGTTACTAAAAAAACAAATCCACCAAAGTGAAGTACAAAAGGGGATATACACTTAAAATTGTAGAATGTCAATCCCAGAATTTATTTTGAATAATAGAGATGAACAGAGTTTCTAGATCTAGCATAGCCAGTCAGATTCCTGATTACATTCCTCTTGCGTTTTGTATTTCAAGAACACAAATTAGGTGCAAAAAAACTCATTTTGTTACAGATTTCATTGATCAATTGGATATTAAAAATCCTTGCAAGCTACTCATAGTTCCACGAGCAAATCCAGCTTTATTCTCTGCTCCCACTGCTTGACTATGTATTTTGCATCAAGACATGGCCTCAAGTCGGTTTAAAGGAGATGTGCATTACTCTATTTTTTACATTAAAAATAACTTATTATAGGACACTAAAGTTAGGAAATTGAAAGACTAGAGCCAGGGGTTTTCAACAAGAAATTAATGGATTAATTACTATAGAGGAAATGATGACAGCAATTAAAGAATTAAAGTTAGGTAAAGCACCTGGTACTGATGGATTGACATCAATTTATTATAAGATTTTGATAGATGAGTTGATAGAACCTTTAAGGGAACTTTTTAATAATATATTACAGGGTTTAGAGACCCCCTTGTCTTGGGGTAGAGCTTTTATATCTTTGATCCCAAAAGAAGACCAAGATCTTACTCTACCAAAGAATTATAGACCTATATCTCTTTTGAATGTAGATTATAAGATTTTTTCGAAAATTTTAGCTAATAGATTTATGATTGTGTTGAATCAACTAGTACATATGGATCAAACTGGCTTTATAACTGGAAGGTATATGAAAAATAATGTTAGACAAATTATTAACTTAATAGAATATTTGGATAAGAACAACCAAATCTCTGCAGGTTTGATATTTTTAGATGCTGAAAAAGCTTTTGATCAATTAAATTGGCAATTTATGTTAAGATTGGTTGAGGAAATGAACTTTGGAGATAAAATTTTACAGGCTCTTCGAGCCATTTATCAAAAACAAACGGCACAACTTATAGTTAATGGAGGTTTATCAGAGGTATTCTCAATTGAAAAGGGGACCAGACAGGGTTGTCCATTGTCTCCATTGCTGTTTGTTTTAACTTTGGAAATTTTATTGATTAAAATTCGGGAATCATCGAAAATAAAAGGAATAGAAATTAATAAAAAAGAATATAAACTAAGGGCCTTTGAAGATGATCTGGTTGTTACTTTATCTCAACCAATTCATTCCGTAATGGAGTTGTTACCATTGATAAATCAGTATGGACAAGTTTCAGGTTTTAAAATTAATAATAATAAGACTAAAATATTGCCTAAGAACATGACCAACTTGGATAAGGAGACCCTGGTTAGATTGACAGGCTTTGAGGTCGTTAATAAGGTAAAATATTTGGGTGTTATTCTATCTGCTTCCAATGCAAAACTGTATAAAAATAATTATGAAACGCTGTGGGTTAGAATGCAAAAGGATTTGGATAATTGGAAAAAGCTGCAATTGTCCCTTTTGGGGAGAATAGCAGCGATTAAAATGAATGTCCTGCCAAAATTTCTTTTTTTATTTCAAATGATACCTATTTTAAAGAAAGAAGCAAATTTAGATGAGTGGCAGGTATCAATAAATTTATCTGGGCAGGGAAAAAACCAAGAATAAAACTTAAAATTTTACAAGATATACGAGAGAGAGGTGGACTTAAGGTACCGAATTTGAAATTGTATTATGATGCTGTGGTCTTAACATCAATCAGTGATTGGGTTAATCTAACAAATGTAGATATACTCCTTTTGGAGGGGTGGGATTTACTTTTTGGATGGCATGCCTATTTAATTTATAATAAAAAGGTTGATAGGGTTTTTAGATCTCAATATCTTAAGAATTTCTTTACTTCGGGTTTGGAAGAAATATTATAGAAGTGATTCAAGAATTCTATTATGGGCTATTCCATGGCATGCAATAGAAGGAATAAGGAGAGGAGTTAAGATGGATACTATTTCTTATACACAATTACTTAAGTGGGATGGTAAAAATTGGCAATTAAAATCTATGGATGAATTAGCACAAGAAAATATTATTTATTCATGGTTTCAGTATAGACAACTTTTGGAAAGGTGGAAGATAGATTATAAGGTGGGCTTGTTTAGAGAGGATGAGAACTTGTTAAAACAAATTAGAGATCAAAGTTGAACCCATATTAAAAGAATTTATGGTGTCTTGGTGGAATTGGATTCATAAGCAGAGCAAGTTAAAGACTGTATGGTTAAGTGGGCACAAAATTTTGATGAACCAATTTTATTAGATACATGGGAGATTATTTGGGTGAGGAATGTTAAATTCATGCAAGCCCAAAACTTATGGGAAAATTTTTATAAAATGTTTTATAGATGGCACCTTGATCCACAAAAGATGTCTTGTATGTATCCAAACCTGCAGCCTAAATGTTGGAGATGTGGTTGCTTGGATGCTACTTATTATCATATCTGGTGGTCATGTAAAAGTATAAAAGCTTTTTGGATTAAGATATGGTGGAATATTCAAAGAATTTTTAAAAGAAGGATAAAATTTACTCCACAATTGTTCTTATTTGGTATTGTTTCGGATTGTGATGACAAAGAGATTATTTTAATTTAATTACTGCAGCTAGGTTGTTAATAGGGCAATATTGGAAGAAGGAATCTTTGCCTACTTTGCAAGAATGGTTTTTTAAAGTTTCTTGCTTAGTGGAAATGGCAAAAATTTCGGCTTTCTTGAAAGATCAATCACAAGAGAAATATCTCTTGGTGTGGAAAAGATGGATAAATTTTATACAATATAAGTATGATATAAGAAAATATTTAGCTTTTGAATAATTTATATTTAAAGTTTAAGATATTATCTAGAAGTGTAATTATTATTATTTTTTAATTTTTTATTTTTTAATTTTTTTATCTTCTCTTTTTTTTCCTTTTTTTGTTTTTTATATATAATGGAGTTAAAGTATTTTTCAACTTGTTTATTGAGTGTAATTATATTTGCTTAAGGTTTATTTGGGTTTAAAACTTTTTTTCTTTTAAGTTCGAGTTAAGCCTGTACTCAGCTCTGGGAAGAATGGGGGAGGGTTTTGGGGTGGGTTAGGAGGAATTGGGGAAGGGGCTTTTAATAAAAAAAGATTGATGTCTATCAGAAAAAAAGTAAAATCTCTCTCTTCCATATTATGTTCTCGCCAATAATCTCGCAAATCCCAGTCCTCTTTCAAATCAAAAAAGGCCTTAGGTAATTTAGCCTGTTTAAAAGAAGTAGAAGATCCTTTTTTATCTCTATATGTATCCAAAACTCCATTCCAGTCTCCCATCAATATAACAGATCTATAATCCAATGAAATCAATTTTTGATGTAAAAGCCTGTAAAATTGCTCTTGTTGTTGATTTGGAGCATACAAACCCACTATAAGTATTTTTTTATCATACATTCCCACTTCAATCATTACATATCTCCCCTGAGGATCGGAATCTATTAAAGAAGCTGATAAATTTTGCTTAACATAAATAACTACACCCCCTTTTTTCCCAGGAGCAAAAGATACAAAATGAGATCCCAATCGGGCATTAACTAATATTTTTGATCTTTAGAAATAATATGGGTTTCCTGCAAACAAACAATATCATTATTATGTTGCTTCAAATAATGAAATATTTTCTTCCTTTTCTGTGGAGAATTAAGGCCATTAACATTCCAGGTCAGGAGCTTTGCCATCTCCTCCATCCATTAGCCTAGAGAAGAGTGCTTGGAGATCTGCCATCGAGGATTGCACCGATGATCTCTTAGGTCTTGCTCCTCCCACAGGCTCAGAAACAAATTCTTGTAATACTTGTTTAACCTCCTTCTTCTGTTGTTCCTTTTCTTTACGCTTATGTGCTGCTCGAGTCATTCTCTGCTCCTTCATCTCAGCTTGTTGGTGCCACTCAGCCTGTATTTTCCCAGCTTTCATCAATACATCTTCTTCATATTGCTGTTCTGCCTCCTTTTCTTCCAAAACTTTCAACATTATAGGTGGTGATGAGCGCGCTCCCAGGACCGAAGTATAAAACTCTCTTGCTTTAAAAACAGTATTAAGTCTATAACATGTCCCTGCGTGACTCACCACAATTCCAGTCGGAATATCCCATCTAAATAGCATCTGCCTCTTTTTAAGTTCATCTGCTAAAAAAGCAAACTCTTTTCTTCTTCTTAAAATTTTAGATGGGATCTCCTTTAAAATTATTACATCTTGTGCAGCAATCTGAAATCTCTTGTTATAAAAAGCTTGTATAATTTCATTGCGCAAAGATCTTTTCCCAAAATAAATTACCACATCTCTTGGCAGATTTCTCTGTTTTGCCACCCAAGAGTTGACTCTAAATATTTTTTCAATTTCTCCAAGTATTTCCTCCTTTTCTCTATCCAAAATCACAGCAAAATCATTTGCCACCATCTCTCTCAAGTTTTCTTGCATATTTTCCCTCAGGCCCCTGATTCTTAAAGCATATTCCATCTCTCTGTATTGAGACATAACAATTTCATCGTGTGAAATTTCCATCTATTTTTCCATTCCTTCAAACTTTTCCTCCAATATATCCACTTTATCTACTACTTCTTCAACACAAGAATCCAACTTTTCAACAACAGAAGCAAGTCCTTTTAGGGCCAGAAGTATATCTTGCCTCAAAATATTATTATTCTCCACTAAAATCTCTTTCACTTCTCTAATTTGAGATATAACATTTCCCATAACATCTTGCAAGTCTTTTACCGTAAGTGGTTGTACAGGAGGAGAAGATGGTTGTTGGACTGGTAATATCACCAGAGAAGAGGCCACCTTAGGTACTGTGGAAGCTTGACGCTTTGAAGCCATTTTAAACAAAGGAAAAAGAAATTTTTTTTTCTTTCCTCCTTCTTAAAAAAACAGTACGAAAAAAATCCCAAGCAAAAATAAAGAAATAAACAAAAGAGAGGGAGAATAACCGAACACAAGTCTCTTTCAAAAAACCATAAGATAAAAAAGATAAAAAAAGAAAAAGTAACAAAGTAACAAAATCCATTTCGTTTCCTTTCAAGCACTCAGAAAAAAAAGCCTCAGATCACCATTTTACTTTCCCTCTCAACCAAAAAAAAGAGAAAGTGAAAATAATTCTTTAAAATTAAAGTCCAAATAAATCCAAAAAGTAAAAATTCCCCGATCAGCTCTGTCCGCTTTTTTTAAATTAACTCACCAGTTCTCTATAATTGCGGAGGTGGGAGCGGCGTCTTGCTTTGTCCCGAATGACAAGGAACAAAGACAGCTGAGAAGCGGAGATTCCCTGAACTCCGTGGGAGCACTCTTTTTACCCCCAAAAAAACTTCTTTGGGGATTTCAGAGGCTCTACCACTATTCAGGGTAGAACTCCCCTCCTTCCTTTAGCCCAGGAAGGAGGTTTGGAACCGTGGGACAGCTGATATCTGCTGTCCTCTGCGGTTTTAACGCTGTCTCAGAAGGACGGCTAAAAAAGTAGCCACCATCGACATCGCGACACCACCGGAATGTTGTTATAAATGTTATTTATGTGTGAAATTGGGCATTTTGTATAGTGCCTAAAAAATTTATAGAATACCAAAAATGGGACATCAAAGTATAGAACAGTTAACATTTCACACATTTCCTAGGCATCCTATGCAATGCCAAAAGATAAATTAGCAAAGTATAAATACTCCCATTAAAATGCTACTCTAACCTTCCTTGTTGCAACAAGTTTGACAATGCTGGTCTTTTTCTCTTGTTTTTTTTCATTAAAAAAGTCCTGCACTTTATTTTGCATTTCTTCCTTCATTTTCATATACATCTATTCAATAAAGGATTAGGGTTAACCCTAACCCTAATCCTAACCATTTTCATGACTCTCGTTTCATATTTTACCTAAATAGTACTTTTCACTCTGCATAATGCCTAGGTCATGTATACAGTGCCTAGGGAAAATATATAGTATGTTGAAATAACACAGACATTTCATACTTTGCTTAAAAAGTCACACATTCTATAGATTTCATAGGCATTCTATACAATGCCAGCTTTTCACACAATGTCAGTAATATAAATCATACAGTTCTGCAACTCTCAGGAAAATTGTTTCAGAACGCACAAAGGTGTGAATATAGCAGCTGCCTGCTATTTCTTAAACCAGCTGTGCAGTCTTTGTAAAGATACAACTATTTTAAAGAGTAATAGCTAAATGCTATGTCATACATCCACACAGTGCCATTTCTGAAATAAACCTAAAGCAGTGCAGAGTCCTGATAAGTACTACACCCTGCTGACTCTGTCATCCACTCACTTGGTGAATGTTAGGTTGCATTCCTTGTTCTCTGATAATAATGTTTTATATTTCTAATTATTGTTGTACAGATTTTGCTTCAGTGTTAACTGTTTATTACCCTGCATGTCATCCAGAGTGGCTTTGGTGATTGATTATCAGTAATAAATGGATTAAATAATAATTCATTAAATAAATTTAAATAAAGAAATATTTTGTTGTGCTGACATATTTTGCTGAGCAATATTTCTTCCCATATCACCTTCAAATATTTGTTTTGTTTTCCTTTCCACTGAAAGGAAAAGGTAATGGCTGTAGTTTGATAGTAATAGAAGAGAAACATACAATTTAGCAGATATGTGTATAACTTAGTCATTCAAGCCTTGTTCAAATTTTGACATAATCTTGAATTATCAATACATGTGCAGATTCCTTTCTTGAAGCCTGGAATCTAAAACAAAGCACTTCTTTACAAAATGTGTCTTTTAAGATAAGAAAGAAGGATTTGTTACATAGAATTGAATCATCGAATAAAATAAATGATTTCTTGCTTCATCATCTTTATTCTTTATTAACAGATCCTATCCTTCCTAGCTTTTGTTGCTGAAGAAGCTGTGAAGAGGTGCAACTCCTGTGCTGGACTTTACATCTTTGAGTTTGCTAGCTGCACTGCCTTTATTTTAAGCATCTCAATCCTGGTTTTATACTGTACTGCTCTTTATCAAAAGGCTGGAGAAGACAGAGTAACTTGTGTGGTAAAGAGGCATTTTTTCATTTTTGTAAGAAACTGGAAACACAAAATTTAGTATGGTCGACAGAGAAGAGCTTCAGTGACTCCATTTTAAAGATTTCAAACAATTGTTTTTCCTTTCATTCTTTTCAAAACTTTGTTGCATTAAGGCTAGACCTACAGAAGTTTATTTTATTTTATTTTGCTTGCAAGGAATTGTTGCTTCACATCTATGCTGAGCTTATCTCACGTCAATAAAAAAGATACTCAGTAGAAAATGAATGAGAGTGATTTTGAGCTGGGGCAAGCACTTATATCATTATTTTAACTTTCCAACCAGCAATATGTGGTATTGATTAATTTAGATTATAAAAATGTTATTTGAATATAGGTACTCCTCAATTTTCCATAACTCAACCCAAAATCTGTGTTGTTAAACAAGACATTTCTTAAGTGAATTTTGCCCCATTTTACCACCTGTCTTGCCACAGGTCGTAAAAGTGAATCATTAAGTGAATCATTACAGTTATTAAGTTAGCCCTGTTAAGTGAATCTGGCTCCCCCATTGACTTTGCTAGTCAGAAGGGCACAAAAAGTGATCACATGATCCCCAGGAAACCACAACCATCATACATATGAGTCAGTTGCCAAGCATCTGAATTTTGATCATGTGACCATGATGATACTGCAATGGTTGTAAGTGTGAAAAACAGTCATATGCCACTTTTTTGTTGTAACTTTGAACGGACACTGAACAAACTGTGGGAAGTTGAGGACTACCTGTAATTAATATGATAAAAATGAAGGAGAAAAATTGACATGTATGGTACTTTTACTTTTTCTTCTTTTGTAGGATTTCTTTGTTGCTGCAACAGTAGGATTGCTGTTCCTCCTGGCTTCAATTATATTTACTGTAACTGCTGAGAAGGCACTGATTGAAAATACTGCAACTGTGAGTTCATATTTGACAGATTGCTAGAATTGTTATTAAAGCAGGAAAGGACAAGTTACAGGTCTTACTCTTGCTTCAATTAATTGGTTTTGAAGTGGAAAGGCATAAAATAGCTTCTGTCTTGTGAAGCAGAAGTGGGGGAGAATGGTGCTTGCATTTTTATGAGAGAAGAATATCACTTCAGAACCTAATTTCTTCACTATTTCAACTCATCATTAGGTAGTATATACTCACAGGGTATATCCTTACTCTATCTGACCAATTTATTTACACTATGCAACAAACTAATGGTGATTCTCTATCTATCTGTGTGTCTGCCTGTCTATATTGTGTGTGTGTGTTTCTATCATCTCTCTATCATCTATCACTAAAAATCAAAAATTACTTGATGGCACATACTCTAACAATTGAGATGGTAGTACTAAAAACTCAAAGACCAGGAGTAAACAAGCCACAAAGTAACCTGCTTCTGGAAATTATTATTTAAGCTGTATTATACTACTACTTTTCTTCAAATCATTTTTAAAAAGCCATATTAGCAGATATATTTAGGTGTTTGTGCCCCTAAAAGTTTTCCTTTTTTTCTTAACGCTATTGCACATACAAATAGAGAATTCAGCATTTAAACTAGTGTGAGCATATCTTACTTTGCATAAAATTGGCACTATAAAAATCTTCACCTGTTTTAAAAGATAAATTTGTTCCCATATAACATAAAACCACTTACTATGTAAGAGAAAAGGAAATTCATTTGCCCTGTAGTCTGGCACTGCAGCAAGCAAAGCTATTTATTGGTCCTTTGCAATGAAAATGAGGAAAGAAGCCAAATGAAAGATCAAAGCATGTTTGAAGCACTACAAAATGTATGTAAGGAAATGAATAATTGCAAAAATCACTCTAGGGTAGCTCAAGTTGTACAAAAATTGCTTGCAGCCTAAAGAAAACCACAAATACATATCTCAATTAATTTTGTACATTTTGGAAATGTACAGTATTGCCATTGGTATGGAGAGGAGACTATATTCCAGAGCTCCTCCTGTAAATGCTGCAGCTGGATTGTCTTGGAAAAGTTCTGGCCATTAGTCTTAAAGAGGAATAAAGGAAGATGATAGGAGCACAAAAATGAAACAAAACAAAAAAGAGTCAGTGAGTGAACAATATTGTAGTTTGATAAAATAGTAATAAATCATTGTCATTCATATAGAATAGAGGAGGCAACTTCCCAGGGCTGATGGCAACGAAAGCAAACCTGAAAAATCTCAGGTGGTGTATTTTGACCCTTAGCACTTAGAAAAGGTTAGCAAACCCTTTTCACTTTCAAATTGGCGCTTTCCTTCCCTCCTGTTCTTGTAATGCTTTAATTAAATTCTGATTTCTCTCTCTTTTTCTATACCAAATATACCAAAAGGCAACTGGACTTTCTTGGGTTTTTTTTTTCTTTGAAAACATTTCAGTTCTCATTCAAGAAGCTTCTTCAGCTCTGACTGACTGGTGAGGAATGGAAGGATTTATATTCTTTGCAGTCATCTGGTCCTTACCACTCTGAGGACCTGAGCACTCTGCAGTAATCAGTTTACTGCAGGGAATATACATCCTTCCTTTCCCCACCAGTCAATTAGAACTGAAGAAGCTTCTTGGATGAGAAGCAAAACATTTTCAAAGAAAAAGACCAAGAATTGGATTGTTTCTGTGTACGTGCATAGGTGATTGTGGTTTTTTTTATTCAACAGACATTTGGTTACTGCGCAAGTACATTATTTCTTGTGGATGCTGCCCAAATAATCATGAAGCGTATCGTTGAAGAAAAACTGCTGGAGACCATTCCAACAGTTCGATGCAATCGACGTGATCGACGTGAGATTCGAATGTTAAATAATCAGCGGGTCTAAGATGTAAACCACAATGGCTTTATACTGCATGCTGATCATAGTTGAAGAGATACTGTCCTTTAAGATGTATAGGTAGTCCTCAACTTATAACCATTTGTTTAGTGACCATTCAAAGTTACAATTGCACTGAAAAAGTGACGTATGGCCGTTTTCATATTTGTGACCGTTGCAGCATCCCCACAGTCATGGGATCAAAATTCCAACTCTTAGCAACTGGCATGTATTTATGCTGCTTGCACATAATCACCTTTTGCGATCTTCTGACAAGCAAAGTCAATGGGGAAGCCAGATTTACTCAACAACTATATTATTTCATTCATCAACAATGACAAAAAGATCAAAATGGGGCGAAGCTCACTTAACAATTGCTTAGCAATGGAAATTTTGGGCTCAATTCTGGTTGTAAGTTGAGGACTACTTGTATCTAGATTATTAAGGTGACCAACTTTTTTACAATGAAAAGGAGGACACAAATAAATTGAAGAAAAAATATCGTAAATAAAAGAAACATTTTATTAATTGCAACAATAATACAGACAACTTGCATGTGCAAAGTTTGCCAGCCGGGTGTTTTGGTGTGCTCAGCAGCAATTCCTACTGGCTTTCGAAAGCCAATAGTGAGAGTAGCACACCTCATGCAAAAGTTGAAAAAAAAAAACATCAAAAAAAGGTGCCAGAACACCGTTCTGAGCTTTCTGTGAGAAAAAAAAAGCCTTGCAGATTAGTCTTCAATTATCGAAAAGGAGGACATGTAGGAGGACACTTTTCAAGGGAGGACAGAACTTACAAAAGGAGGACTGTCCTCCCTAAAGGAGGACGGTTGGTCACCTTAAGATTATTGAATTTTATTTCAGCTTTGTACTTAATCTGTACAATCCTTATTCAACAGACTATATACTATACTATACTATACTACTTTCATATATCATTTCTGAATTTCCTAACACTTGCACTCTTTTTACTTTTCATATATATATGACTAATAAATGTGCAGCATTCTGCTGAAAATAAAATTTTAACTAAGATTGTTAAATCTTCATGCATTGCTTTTCACAATAAATATAGAGAAGCATTAAGCAGTTTGATGTAGTCATTCATATTCAAATTCATATATTTATTTTTTAATCTTACTGTACCTATAGATGTTCCCACATTGTACCCAGTAAACATTTTATTATTCCTTCTTAAATCACATCAATCATCTTAAAATTTTAAAAAAGTCATGGGGTTTTATTGTCAATATTTTGAAAAGTAAAATTTCTATAATACAAATGGAAGCTGCATCAAAAATTGCAAGGTATATCCTGTTCAGCATTCCAGAAACTATGTCCATTCTGCTTTCCCAATAATTAGACATTTTCTCTTCATACCTGTAGGATTTTTAGCGTATACATCTAGGTTTTTGGTTCTGTCATTAGTCATCCAGTTCTTGATAGCCTTCAACTTCCACTAATCATAGCTTAAGCCAGAGATTGTACCACTTTTAGGATATGCCACTATTCGAGTACTACCAGTGGCATAGCAGGTGACCATGGCCTGCTTGACGCTACTCACTGGACAGAGCTGACTCTAGACGGCTGGGTCAGAACAGAACAAGTCGCACTGGCTAACTCAATATGGGGACAATTTGATGCCCCACAAACTCCTTGCCTTCCCAAACTGCTAACAACCAAGTGCATGCGCGTGCGCACACACACACACACGCACACACACTACATTCCAGGTTTGTGGACTTTTATTCACAGAGGAAGGAGAGGGCCTTGTCCCCAAGCCCAGACATGGTTGGCAATTTGCTAGGTCAGATATGGATACAAGTCTCCAAGCTTGGTGTGTGTGTGTGTGTGTGTGTGTGTGTGTGTGTGTGTGTGTGTGAGAGAGAGAGAGAGAGAGAGAGAGAGAGAGAGAGAGAGAGAGAGAGAGAGAGAGAGAGCACGCTAAAGAGATGTTCTTTTCCCAATCCCAGACATCCTTGGTGTTTCCCTGTCTGGTGCCCCTTCCTGGCAAAGCAGGAGGTGGAGGATGTTTGCAGGAAGCAGTTTCCTCTGAATCCAACTTCTGGCTTAACAGATCTCTGTTAAGAGCAAGAGGAGGCAGCAGGGGAGCAGCACTCCTGGGTCCTGCACAAGGGAGGCTGGCCCTTCTCAAAAGGGAATTTCCATTTCCAATTGTGGGTGGTAAGAATGCTGGCTTGTTGGTGCAGCCTTCCCTCACACAGCTCCCCTACCACCCCCTCCTCCTCCAGAGATCTGCAGGGTAGACATGGATCTGGAGGGCAAGGTGCAGCCTCCATATTGGCTACTTCTACTTCTCCAAGCCCTCCTCAATTAAACATACATTATATAAAACACAGCCAAAAAGAAAACATAGTTAAATCACTAATTACAGCTCTTCACATATTTTCTGGAAAAAACACCTTTATTAATGTTAGGAAGGAAGAGCAAACCTTATTAAGGAACTCTTATCAGGAAGGGAATTGAAGACCCCAAAAGGTCTCATTCTTTCTAATCTGCCTTCCCTTTGAGTCTTTAGTTCTCGTTATTTTATTATTATGTATTTAAGAAGACGATCAAAGGCCTCTGTAACTCAGGATACTCACCTTAAAATCAGAACCCAGAAAAATTTAGTTACTTCACAATATGCCCTATGAAGAATGAAGATAATCTTTGGGCCCTGAGAGCATGCAAGTATTAAATCAGAATATTAGTAGCACACCTGTCAGTAACTGGAAGTGCATGTCCATGTACTTCCCTTTCCTGTCTCGCAATCCATACATTCTTTAATTTTCAGACACATCTTTTTCTCATAAGCTCCTTAAAAAACCAACAAGGTATACTGTAATTAGCAGGAAAAATAAATCTAACACTCCTGAATTCTTGCCCCAAGAGGGAAAGAAAAGTCCACAGCCTGCAGTTTACTAGCAAAGTTGTCAAACAACATAGTTATTGCTGCTAAAGGCAAGAATAAATAACAAATCAATTTTGCAGCTCTCTCCTGTTACTACATCCTCTTACCTCCAGAATGTGACCTGGGATTGCACAAGGGGCTAGGCTAAAATCTGGTTGAGTAGTTTGCAGCCCGGTGTTCAGTACTGACCTTGCCAATGTGATTTTAATCGCCCAGGAAGGGATAGGAAAACCCAAGGAAAACTTTGCAATCAATATACCATGGTGAACTCTGCTTGTTTTGCCCTATTTTGATTCTCCTGCCCAGTAGCAGCCCATCGATTTTAGAACTTCATGGCCATAAAGACAGAGGCCTTCAACTTCCCAATCCCTGCTTAGAGAGGGATTTTCATTTTAGCCAGGGTCAGGCCATACTCCCCCAATCAAAGGAAAACCCCAAATCCGGAGGGCTAGAAAGCAGCCCAGCCACTGCACCCCTCCGGTTCCTTCTCCTTGTCCCCTGGGCAAAGACGTAGCCATTGCTCCTCACCATAGCTGGGGCGGGACTTGCAACTACCTCTATCCAGTAAAGCAGCATTCCTCCAGGACTCCCTTCTGCCACCATGCCAGCAGCCCCGACTAAAGGCCGTGGCTGCAACCTCGCCCTGTCAAGGAAGGGGGCGGTAGCTGAGACTACAGCAGATCTGTGGTATTATGTATTTTTTCATGTATAGTCCTAGAGGAGATCAACCCTGACTGCTCTTTAGAAGGCCAGATCCTGAAGTTGAAACTCAAGTACTTTGGCCACCTAGTGAGAAGGAAGGACTCACTGGAGAAGAGCCTAATGCTGGAAAAGATTGAGGGCAAGAGAAGAAGGGGACAACAGAGAATGAGGTGGCTGGATGGAGTCACTGAAGCAGTAGGTGTGAGCCTAAATGGACTCCAGAAGATGGTAGAGGACAGGAAGGCCTGGAGGAAAGTTGTCCATGGGGTCGCAATGGGTCAGACATGACTTCGCAACTAACAACAACAACAATTTTGTGGAGCTAATATCTACTGAAAAATAGCAACATACATGAAATGAAATCAAGATGAAAAAGGAACTCTAAAATATAGTGGATTTTTAATAAACATTCTTCATTCTCAATGGATCTTATGTCAATAGGTATATAGTTATAGAAATATATTAACGGTAAGAGAAATGAAAACTAATCAATAAATCAAAAGTTTAAATTGTATGGTTGAACAAAGAGATTTAAAATTTCTCACCAAAAAAGAAATTCACACTAACAATGGGAGGAAAACTGAAAAATTCGGATGCAACCATGTTAAACAGTATTATTAAGCATATAAAGCACTGTCATATTCACAATAGCTTAAATAAGATGTCCATTTTAAGAGTAAAACTAAGCGGCAGAAAATGCAAAGAGGTAAGAAAAAGATTTCTCAAATGCAATGATTGTTGGTTCATGGTGAATGTTTGCAACATTTGCCAGTCACAGCTGGTTTGATGCAGAATATATTTTCCATTTGGAATCTTAATTTGGATTCTCTTAAGTGGTCATTTCAACAATATGAAACGATCAATAAGACATAATTTCTCTTAAGTGCTTATTTAAAGAATAAGGTATAATCAAATATTTCTTGAGAATATAATCCAAGAAATATTGGATTATATTTTATGGTTAAATTTTAAAAGAGAACATTTCTCTTTGTTTATAAGAAGGAGTCTTTCTCACCACTACAGATAGTCCTTGACTTATGACCATAACGGAGCCTACCCATTGCAATCACAAGTGATGATGGCAGTTAAATGAGCAGTCTTGCTTTTTTTTTATTAAAAGTTTTAAAGATTTTATACAATATATACCCCAAATCTCTCCCACCCCTCCCACCCTTCCCCCACTTCCCAGAGCTGATTACAGGGTTACAAATAAATAATCATAATCTAACTAACATTACCCAACTATACAAACAATCAAATCCATAACATACTTTAACTCCTTTTCAAAATAAATATTAACAAATTAAATACGAAAATAATAATACAATTAAACCATAAAACTAAAACTAATATAAATTCTACCATATTAAACTATTAATAATAATCTAAAATTTACTCATAAGCTAGATAATACTTTTTAGTCTCATATTTATTCTGAATATAATCTATCCATCTTCTCCAAACCGAGATATATCTTTCTTGTGAGTAATCCTTCAAATAAGCGGAAAATTTTGCCATTTCTGCTAAATTAGACACC